CCCGCGAGGCCTTATCGGCAAAGCATTACAAACGAAATCTGGCGACCGCCTTTGCTGGGCATTCAATCTCCCACAGGGTTGTACTGATGCCAAACCTGGCGACAAATGCCAAAAAGGATACCACCTATGTGCCGAGCCTGGTTGTGAGCAAGCTCACAGCCTCCAGAACCATAAGTGACAGGCAGCAGGCGCCCCGAATTCCAACTCTGCTGATCCCATTCGAAGCAATCAGGAAACAGCACTTTCGGGCCGCCTCATCCAGGAACATTTTTGCATTGAAGTTTTCGCTGGAACGGGCAAGCTCACAGCTGCCATACGTGCAGTGGGCCTCAGAGACAGTTTTGGTATCGATGTGAAATTGCCACCACATCTCCGTAGTCCGATAATTAAATATGACTTGCTCCAGCCTGACCAATTCGACCTTGTACAGAACCTTATTGCTTCACCATTTTGTGTGTTCGTGCATTTTGCACCTCCATGCGGAACCAGCTCTAGAGCCAGACTGATCCAGCGCAAAGGCAGATGGAATCCACCCATTCTGCGCACTGACCGCCACCCAGACGGGATCCCAGGTCTAACCGGCGTGCTGCAGGCACGTGTTACTTCAGCCAACCAACTTTACCAAATAACTTGTGACCTCGCCGAGAAATGCCTGCAACTTGGAAAATACTTTGCAATCGAGAACCCAGGCCGTTCGTTTATGTGGGACACCGCCCCATTTAAAAAGTTTTGCCAAAAACACTCCCTGCTTGAAGTATTTTTCCACCATTGTCGGTACGGGAGTTCCAGAAGGAAACTTACAAAATTCCTCCACAATATCCCTACCTTCCAACAGTTAGAATCCTTTTGTAATAACGACCACAATCATGAGCCCTGGGGACAGAGTCCAACAGGTCAATGGCGCACATCTGAGGAGACCGCGTATCCATGGGAGTTGTGTCGGGCCATAGCATCCAAAATAGCCATACAGCTCCAAGCAGACGGGTTCATTTGCCACCCCCCTGCTTTTGCAGTTCAAGAAGCCTCGCTGTTGACTATGCGGGCCGCAACAAACTTGCAACCCAGACGTGGCCTTCCTCCCATGGTACCCGAGTTTAGGTCCATAATCCAACACCCAGTAGACCGACCATTACCCTCTAATTCACGTAAGCTAAGCACTCCTCACCAGGGGACAGCCGCGAGTGAAGAAGAAGGGAACCTATACCTAGATTCCAGCCACAAGCATACAATCACAATCGGCATGCATTATGAACCCAAAGAATTTGTTCAGCAAGCCGCGAAGATTGGGCACCCAACCAGGATTCATTCATTTTTCCCCGAGGAAGTAGACAAAGTTGTCAGACAGTTGACGCAGTGTGATCCTGGCACCACAGCCAGAGGGAGGACTGAAGAAATCAAAAGGTGGGTGCATCTATCGAAATCTCTTGACGAGGAAGAAGCACTCCTCAAAAATCAAATGTCCGAAAGGAGACGCACTGTGCTTGGAGGGAAGCATCTCTCCCTCTTTCGCAGGCTGTTGCTCGATGCAGGACATGGAGATACCAATCTTGTTGAACACCTTTGTGAGGGTTTTGATCTGACCGGAGGCTTGCCTGAATCTGGAGTTTTTGCCAGACGGATAAGACCAGCTGTCTTGTCCTGCACTGAGCTCCGGAGAGTGGCTGAAATATGTAGGGATAGCCTTTTGCAGTCCGTGGCATCATCGGGTGACAGCGAGCTTGATTCCCAGCTCTATGCAGCGACCCTGAAGGAAGTCACAAAAGGGTACCTGCAAGGCCCTATCAATCCCGATTCCATTCCCAAAGGAGCGACCCTAACCAAACGTTTTGGGGTGAAACAGAAGAGTAAAGTCAGGCCTATCGATGACTATAAAGCATCCATGGTTAATAGTAGTGTTACTCAAACCGAAACCGCTACCGTGCACACCATTGATCATATTTCAGCCCTGGCAGCCTGCTTTCTGAAGGTTTCCAATGAAAAAGGAAGAAATTTGCGCTTGGCCGCTAAGACATGGGACTTGAAAGATGCTTATAAACAAATCCCTTTCAGTGACCAAGCTTATGCCCAGGATTCCTATTTGGCCGTTTATAACCCCAATTCGGGTGAAGCTGAAGTGTTTCAGCAAAAGGTCCTTCCGTTCGGCTCGATTGCGTCAGTAACAGCCTTTCTCCGAGTAGCACATGGCATCTGGAAGCTTGGTACAGAATTGCTACTGCTTGCTTGGACCTCTTATTTTGATGACTTCTTTTCGGTCTCGAATGAGGTTACGGCCAGACATACTGATTTCGTTATATCAGCAATGTTTAGGATCCTGGGATGGAACCTTTCTTCTGAGAAACTTGTGGACTACCATACTGTGTGCAAAGTCCTGGGCGTGGAGTTTGATTTCAAGATGGCTGGCCAAGGCCTGGTGTATGTCCGCAACACAGAAGATCGAGTCAAAGAACTGTGTGAGGAGATAGACGGCATCCTACTGAACTGTGTCCTCAAGAGGTCAGACGGTGAGAGGCTGCGTGGCAGACTGCAGTTCGCTAGTGGCCAACTGTTTGGCCGGTACGCCCGAAACAAAATGAGACAACTGTCCATGCACATCGCATGCGGCAGGAGTTCTCTCAGCCCAGACACGGTGGATGCCCTTCAAGCCCTCAAAAGACAGCTCACCTCGAATGTACCCAGAGAAGTTTCAGGGAACCTTTCCGATCATGTTCATATTTATGTTGATGCCTCCTTTGACCCAGGAAAGTATTGTGGTGTCGGTGGTGCCTTGTATGACAGTTCGGGAAGGGTTCTTGCGTTTTTCAGTGAAGAGATCCCAGAGTCCTTCATCAGGGAAGCCATGACCCCCGACCAGAAGACCATGATCCAAGAGCTTGAAATGTTAGCCCTCTTTAAAGCCTCTGACCTATGGCTCCCAGAGAGCAAAGGGAAGAAGGTAGTGTCATTCACAGACAGTGAAGCAGTCAGAGGCAGTTTCTTGAAGTCGTGGTCGCAAAATAACCAATGTAGCAAGCTTCTCATGAAAATATTCGAACTAGAAGAAAAGCACGCCTGCCAGATTTGGATAGAAAGAGTCCCAAGCCAATCCAACCCTGCAGACGAGCTGTCTAGGTGTGTTCTGACCAAGTGGTCGGGAATCCACAGCACTAGAGTAGACCCAAGAAAGGCATGGAGCGAGTGCGGCCATCACATGGGGTGAGAGCGCGCCGCACAGAAACTTCCGACGATTCTCCCCAGTTGAAGAAAAAGTTGTGTGGCGTCAGCAGCTTTTGATCAGTGCTCTTTGAGAGTCTCTTGTCGAAACACATGTCCGCAGTAGGAAGCATCAAGAACATAAGAATTCTCTCATGTGTAACATGATAGATTTTTATGTGAAGATGTTGACGTGAACGAATTTTCATGAGTGACTGTGGACATGTCTTTCATTGTTTTCGATTGTTTCACATCCACTGATCAACAATCTTGCTGCTTTTCGGGTCTTAGCCTCGAGTGAGGTAAGCAGCAAGTGCTGCTGAATACACACGTGTCTTTTCATGACGGTTGCCATATCATTTCATTACACATTTGACAGTTCGAGTGAACGTCAAGTTTTACATGTGCAATTGTCATGAACAAACTTTCATTCAAAATTTTCGACCCAATACCTCACCCACCCTTTCATTTTCTTTTCTCAAATGGACGAGCAACCTGGCCGTGATCTCCAACAGCTGTTCTACGATGCTTTCCTGATCCAGAGATACATTCAACAGCTTAATCAAGCTGAAGAACACCTCATCGAGATCTCTGACCTGTTTGATCACGAGGCCTTGGCCGGCCCTGCTCGCATTATTGAGAACATACGACTTCAAATCCAACAGCTTCGTGTCAATCTCAACTTCTTATCATCAATGAAGCTTCTGCATGCATGCAGACAAGTCCAGCGCCATCTGCAAGTGCATGGCAATTTACCGTTGTTCAATTTGGATTTCAATTGAACATATCCATTCCAATTTTGAAACCATCGGCCGCTCTGATAGCTGAACGGGGGCCTACCCGCAGCCAGAGCGCGCCGCACAGAAACTTCCGACGATTCTCCCCAGTTGAAGAAAAAGTTGTGTGGCGTCAGCAGCTTTTGATCAGTGCTCTTTGAGAATCTCTTGTCGAAACACATGTCCGCAGTAGGGAGCATCAAGAACATAAGGTTAGAATAGGCCTGCAGTCACCTGTGACCCCGCTGGAGTTTGGGGATGCCTGCATGCATATAGCCTCGTAGTTCTGACCATCGTGCACCAGTCCAAAATGTGAGCGTCCGCTTGCTTGCAGTTTCATTGATGTCAACGTTTTGAGTTTAATTAGTCTGTGCATTTGAAGCAACGGAAACTGAAACATGAACCAGACTGTATGTCAGAATATATCCCTTGAAATGCCATGGTTGGGATCACTTGAAGTGAAGTAATTTGCCATTTCTCGTGTTTTCTTCATGTGCCACCCCACCGGCATAATTCGATTTCTGATACGTGAATATACGTGATATTTTTGTTCAAAATGCAGTTTATCTGGAACATTTTGCTTGGTACCTTGCAAATTGTCCCCTTTACCCTTCGTTCGGTAGCATGTGGCCATCACTTTGTACAATTTGTGCGTTGTTTTGAAACTGAATTACAACTTGTATCGAAACAACAAACACGAGCACTGGCTTATATATTTCAGTACCCGCATTTTTTTGCATGTGTGTTGCAATCAAAAATTCAATCCATCATTCCTACATTGCACTGCGCATGATCGTGCATGGCCTCAGCAAAAAAATATCGTTTTCAAAGGAACCATGTCAGGTCTTGGTGACTCAGCCTATCTTAGCGTGGTGGAACAACTGATGTTGGTTGTTTCGAAATCACTTTGGACACGAACTCTTTTACGATGTTTTGAACCAAATTTATCACTATGATTTCCATACAAGAAACAATTTTCAACATCACCACAATTTGGAATAAACACATGCGAAGCGACACGTTTTTGAGATATTGCTGGCATCATTAGTGCAACACAGCAATGTTTGGCGGAAATACAGGCAAGGCACAAATTCCAAAAAAATTGATGGAATTGCTGTGGCAAATTGCGTTGATTTGTCAATACCGCGTGTTCCGTGTCCTTGTGTGGCAGGCTCCAATCCTTTCGCGTCTGCGAGCTCAGGAACAGGCACCCCTGCTGGCGGATTATTTGGAGCTCCGCCGACACCTCAGTTGTCACATGTTGCTGTGCAGGTTGTATGACTGATGAAACATAACAGTAGTGTCATAAATATTGGTAACTCATTGGTAACCATGTATGCAAAAAATTGCAAAATATTTATCCAATTTGCAGATTTTGGTTGGCATGATTTGAGGGATGAAAGGGTGACTCTAGCAGTGCTAACCCAGCGTCAATCTGTTGCAAAGGCATTCTGGAACCGGGGCCGGCATATTTGGTTCAGCTGCAAGTGGAGGCTTGATGGATGAAAAATCAAACAGATGTGACGACCATACTATGGAGACCCTCGAAGATAAACGGACTACCAGACACATTGATATCTTAAACACATTTTTCTGCGCCAATGCTCATTTACTTTGTGCCTGTTTGATGAATTTGTCGAATATTGAACCAAATTTTGGATCGAATTTTAGTTTTCATGTTGCAAGAACACCTATCGGCTTTGTAGCATGAAATTCATCTTGTTTTTCAGGTGGGCAGCGTTGGACCCATTTCACCCGCATTATGCTTATTCTAGCCTCATCTAGAGGCAGTAGACGACGTTATTTTTTTTTTGAGTTCAACATTGTATGAGACGTTGAGCACCGGGGTCACCAGGTGACCGAATTTCACACTTAGCATTACTTTAAACATCAAAAAAATGTTTTTCTTCTGCCATTTTGAGATCCACTGTGCAATAAGGCTTCAAATAATTTCATAGAGCAGTCCAACATTTGAAGTTTTTTTTTTCTTTTTGCATTTTTTAAAACTACCCCGTGTCTTCTCATGTTCTGTTTTTAAGAATCCATGTGAAGCGTCCATTGACTACGTATTGAACTTGCACGCGACTCAGTGCACAGGCTGCAAAGACTAGGCCAGTTTTTTTCCCTGTGATCATTGAAACCTTTCGGCTGTCGTGGTTTGATCAGTAGAACACCCAGTGCAGCCTGGAATTTGGTTGCAACCTCCTAAAGTGAGTGCCGTTGGCTGTTGCAACTGCCGAAGGTGGAGGTCTTTTTGGTGCCTCTGCTTAGATGGAGAAAATGCGAGAAACGAACGAATTTGCGGTGAACAGGAGGTTTTTTGAATCCTTTTCATCCACTTTTCATCCACTTTTCATCCGTGCAATACAGTTGAAGTGAACACACTTAGCATATCTTAGCATCTTCTGAATGGTTCGCTTGAAAGGTTCCTTTGTCCTGAGGTGCACCAGCATCCTCTGCAACCTCTGCAACCGCAAGTTTGTTTGGAGCAGGAGGGGCTGACGGCGTTGACGGTTTCTTCAGCTGAGTTATAACGGTTATCGCAGTATTCTTGGAACACCGTTCTTCCTTCAAACCTGTTTTCGTGTAATTTGAGATAATTTCTTCCACGGGGTTTTCCAAGAAAGGATTTCTCTTGGCTAAGCCAGACACGTATCACTTTTAAGAAAAAATGTTGTTTGACCACTCCTTGAATCTTCGAAATTTTCCTACGTTTTCCTCTTTTTTCTCCGGTGTGCAGGCTCTTCGTCCTCAGGGGCAAACTTGTTTGGTGGTGCACCTGCAGGCCGTGCCTTCTATGGCTTTTGAACAAGTAGAAAGCGGTGAAAACATATGAATCATGCATGACTCTTGAACGACTTTTGAATCTTGAAGTGGCCGACACAATGAAGGCCTTGACGGCTTGACTGATCAAGTTGCAGCATTCTTGAGGCCCAGACGCGGGCAGCCTCTTTGGTGGAGGTGGAGGTAGCCTGTCTCGGGATGTTTCAGCACCACAGGCCGTAGTAAGAGCAGAAGACAGACATGGAAGTGCGTTGAGGTGGCGGAGCGGCAAGCACCGGAGGGCTGTTTGGAGGTGCCTAGATATCGATTTTTCTGAACACACAGCATTCCAGTCATGTGATGTGTTTTACGTACGTAGTTGACGACGTCTCTTGAAATAGCTCCAACAGTTTGGCGCCAGTCTCAGAATCATTTGAGGCTCCTCTGCATCCTCAAGCCTTTTCGGAGCGTCTGGCAGCGGCAGTGCAGGGGGCAGTCTCTTCGGTGCTGCACCAGGTGTGTGAAGAGAGTTGTTTGCTTTGTGATTTTGTGAAGTTAAGTCCACTTTTTTGGGACACTTGATTCTTGTATGATCTTGTATGTATACACAGTTTTGTAATGTAGCGTCATCATCTGCGCCCGCGAGGTTTGTTCTGGCACGACTTTTTTTTTGATAAACGTGTGTATGTATTCATATGTGCACTGTGTATCTGTATGCCTAGATCCTTATTGGAGGCACTTGTTGCTAAAAGTACCCTTTCCGTTTTGCGGCGCAATTTCAATCTTGCGGAATTTTTGAGTTTCTGCTTCGGCGTTTTTTGTTGCTTCTAAACAAAACTATGCAAGGAGCTGGAGTACTTGGTTTCAGCACTTTTTTCAGAGCCTCACTTCATCCTAGTCAGCTCAGCATCTTTGACTTATTTATCCCAATACAAGCTGGTAGTACTTCGGACAAGTCCGACCGAAAGTTGCGGCTCTTGTTATCCGGGATTAATTTGCAAGTTTGGACAGCCACGTTTTTTTTTTTTTGCACATCCCCGGTCAGGTCAATCAAAAGTGTCTAAGACTTGTTGGTGTAGTTGCGGCGTAATTTGGCATAATTGTCGCGTAAGATGCTGCAATGGTTCAAAAATTCCGTTGCGTTTTTGCGGGATAGCCTTTGCCAACTGCACGCACGTGGTTGCAGCGTTGTTGTTTGCAAATTGCTGCAAACCCATTGTATTTGCACCTCTTTGCCTTGCAGCTAACTAGGTCAACAAAGTCTGATGGGTGACATGGCATAGCCGGGAGACGAGTAGCTTATTGTAGCAGAATGTGTAGTTGCTGGGCATTTAACCCGGATGTTGTCAACGACCATGGTTCTGATTTGCGGTGTGTTTTTTTTTTGCCTTGCGGCAGAAAAAAATCACCACAATGAACTGGGGAACTTTTTTCTCGTCCTCCAAGTGGATCTAGGTCCAGGTATAATATATATATATATGTATTATATACATATATAATATATAAATATATATGATAGCCCCCTCCCCCAAGATCCACCTGTGTGGGTAATTGATGTTTCAAGGAACCTTTGTTTGGAAAAATGCTTCTTTTCAGAATGGTGTAAAGCCTTCTTTCAATCATACACCAGATTTCTACACAATGTGCAGTGTGTAATCAACATTTAGTATTGCTGTCTAAAAGTGCAATGGTCGATGCAAATTGCTAAAGGAACATCCTGCTTACAGGTTACAATCTGTCTTGATGATATTTCCTCAAGTAAAGTAGTATTACTGCAGAACCATACAATATGTGGAAAAATGCAATACAACCTCTAATGAAACTCATCCTTTTATTGTGTTTCTTGTACGACCATTTTTTCAGAAAAGACTTCACTTCTTGAAACCAATTGCCCTGAAGGCAAGGTCTTCCCTTAAGTAAGAAGCAGGATTCTTGCAGAAACATACAATATGTGGAAAGATGAATACGCCTTTTACAATAAAGTTCAGACTCCCTCTCAATTCTTTGCATGACATTTGCTTTGAAAGGGAAAAAACGTCACTTCTTCAAAATAATGATGCCTATTTTGTTCAGATGTGTCATTCATATGGCATATGGAAGGGTATATTGCACACATACAACCATGACCTGTTTCTTTCAAAAATACTACATACACCCAAGGGTTCTACTTCATAGTAATGCTTTTCTTTGTATTACTACATTAATTTCAATCAAATGGTTCACTCCCTTGTGAAGGAGGCTTTTCACATACTTGCACCAACATTTTCTTGAAGGAATACCATAATCATTGTCTAAAATGAGTACTCAAAGGTTTCCTTTCCCAAGGAATACGACACCCTCTATTTTCCAGAAATGTGTTACTCTACTCAATGAACTTTTGCAAAAAGTGATGCTACGCTTCTACACCTCTTTCAGAATACAGAGTGCTGCATCCATTTTAAGTACTTGCATCTATTGAGGCATTCTATGCAAAAACAATGTTGCATTTTCTTGAAGGAATGCTCCACCATGTTTAAGTAATGATTCACTCTTTACAATGGACCATTGCAAAAAAGTAATGCTACACTACAACTCTTTTCCAAATAAATTATATACTGTTATCAAGGAATATACTGCATAGACTAAGTCACTTTTCTTCAGAAGGGGTAATGTTAATTTCACAGAGGTAGCATTTGTGAGGCTTTTTGTTTAAACAAACAGTTTAAAGAAAAAGTTTAAACAAAAAGTTTAAACAACAAGTTTAAACAATAAGTTTAAACAAAAAGACGGCTCACATTTTTATATTCCAAGCATGCACTATTACTATCAAAAAGTGATTGCATACTGACTCTAGAAAGCACAATATAGCAGTATTTGTGCCACATTTGCAGCATGTCCTTCAAAAAACCATCTAATTTCCCAATAGATATAGTGTTGCTTGAAGAAAAACATGCATGTTCTTCAAAGTAATTGCTACATTTTTGAAGAGTTTTTTGTTTGAAGAGATACTGCATTTGATTGAAAGATGCCTGTTGCAGGGACTTTTTGTGTACCATGTTTCTTCCTTCCAGAAGTGTTGTACCGAGTACGTTATGAAATGGGTCTGTGCTCATGTTTCAAACTAAGCAATGCATATTTACATAGTGGGAAAAACACTACCTGATCGAAATGAAGAGCGATCTTTTCAAAAGAAGTGACTTTCTACAAAGGAATGTTACCTATTGAAAAGGAGTCATCTTTTTTGCTTAGCGAATGCTATACCTTCTGAATGAAAGTGTTTGTTTGTAAAGCCTGCACTTGTCAACTAGAATTACTTCTTGAAAAGAAAGATTCATGTTTGATCGTCTTTTGTGGCAAAGTAATTTACAGTGTTTTCACTGCCTTTTTCAGGTTTGGGGAAAAGACTGAAATTTATGACTCTTTTCATGTCGAGGCATCAAACTTAGACAGATATGCGTATGTACGCGTACCACCTCCCCTTGAATCTAAGAATCCAAGAATCAAAGACGTACATACGCGTATTCCTACGTATCAAGACTTACATACATTAAGTCCTAAAACCAACATTAACATGTATATATATATGTGGTACCCCCCTTGCATCAAAGGCCATACAAAATGTTTTAAAGTAATGCTTCGAAATCAACACCCAAAAATGAACATAAAACACTGTAAATACCATGAAGATGACATGAAAGGTGGATCTTGGGGGGTACTATATATATATATAAGTATAATATAATGTATTATATACATGCATTATATAATGTATTATATATAATATATTATATATAATATACATAATTATATAATAATATGTATATATATACATATGTATTACATATTATATATATATTATAAAATTAAAATAATAATATATATATATATATACGCACGTACACATACATATACTGTCTAGTCCATGCATTGTGTAGGCATGTATATCTGTATATATATATGCACATGTGTTGGCAAGGTTTCTTTCTTTGTAAAACTGATTTGCACCTTTTCCAGAAGTCATTTTTTGAGTGATTCGCTGGGTCGAATAGAGCTGTGCTCGATTCGGATCGTAACAACCCACAGGCAGTGGAGCCACAAGTGCGGCCGGCAGTATCTTTGGTTCTGCAGCTGGAGGTGAGGGTCGTCTCCATTTACAGTGTAGCCACATTTGCAACGTGGATTATTGCCAAACTGTGGCGAATTCGCACCTTGCCACAGATGCTGTTGATGTTCATGGCAGGAGCTAGCTCCGGGGGTGGAAGCCTATTTGGAGCATCGGGTGTAGCAGGATCGATGGTGTGTCATGGAGTCATGACGTATGCCATCATGTTCAAGCTTACCCTCTGAAGCATCGGAGCCAGTTCAGGTGGCAGCCTGTTTGGCGCAGCCCCAAGCGGAGGAGGGTTCCAGGGAGTGTATGTTCTCATGTGACTGCAAAGTGCTCAGACATAATTGCTTGTCGATCTCGAATCTTGAAGTTTGGCATTGAACCTCTTCCCACCCGAACATACTTGTAGAACACGTCACGTGCTTAACATTTTATTTGCAAGGTTTTGTTTACACTCTTAAGCACAGGAGCCAGCTCGGGTGGCAGCTTGTTTGGCGCAGCCCCAAGCGGAGGTCTGGTGCAGAATGTGCATTTTCAAACTTGGATGGCAGTTGCACAGCCTGACAAGGTCACATTTTTGTAGGGCGTGCAACTAGGTCTTTGACGTCATCTACGTGGGTATGTCCAGACATAAATGGAAGGATAGCGAAGGTCATTGATTAGATATCAAGCAGCCAAAGCTCCTGCAAGAAAGGTGGAGATTCCGTATTAACAAAATCCATGATGGTCCTAGGGCATCCAGCGAGCGTCCTGGACTATCGTGGGCTGTTCTATACACCTAGAGCAGACTTAATTTGCCCCACAAAAAAAAACATTGTTCGGCACACAGCAGCCTGGAAACACAGACGTGCTCTTTTTAGCCGCTCTGTTAACGCACATGTAGATGGTTGAGAAGGCTTTCAACGGCAAGACGACCGTAACACCTGTGCAGAACAAGTTCTCATTTGCTGTGTGTTTGCCGAGTCTTTTTTGACGTAAAGCCACGGCTGCAGATGCATCTCAATTCAAATACGCTGAACAAGTGAGAATTGAAGAGCGTCGAGAGTCGAGAGTCTAGAGATGTCTAGAGCAACAGCAGGCATTTCAAATCATTTCAAGATGCAACTGTTTGGAGGTGGGAGTCTCTTTGGAGGAAGCAGTGGAGGCGGATCAATTTCGGCTGATGTAGGAGGCGAAGCTGTCAGCTGCATCGCTTCACATTTTGATGGCCTCTTGCACCTTATGGAAAGCTGCTCCCCCAAGAAAGCGTGCAGATTTTTCATGAAGTCTGGGGCCTTGTCTGGGGGCTGTTGTTCCACGGCACTTGTTAGTCATCAAGGGGCTTCATAGTGAAGACAGGCTCTCAAGCAGAGTCGAGTCACGAACAAGAATCAGAAAGCCGTGCCTCAAAATTTTTTGTCCTGCAGCTATCCATCGCGTTTGGATCGAAACGATTAGAGCTTGCGCGCCAATACTAGCTTCCAATTTAGGACCGATCTCTATAATTCCTTTTCTTGTCACATTCACAGAGATTCCAGGAAAGGTGGCAAACAAGAAATGGAAGGATTGCAAATAATTTTCTTGGACCACTTTGCAAGCAGCAAGTTCCTAGATCCGATCAGATGATTGCCTAATTTACTAATGCTGTGTGCAGGCTCTTCTTCCTCAGGGGCAAGCTTGTTTGGTGGTGCACCTGCAGGCTGTGCCTTCTATGGCTTTTGAACAAGTAGAAAGCGGTGAAAACATGAATCATGCATGACTCTTGAACGACTTTTGAATCTTGAAGTGGCCGATACAATGAAGGCCTTGACGGCTTGACTGATCAAGTTGCAGCATTCTTGAGGCCCAGACGCGGGCAGCCTCTTTGGTGGAGGTGGAGGTAGCCTGTCTCGGGATGTTTCAGCACCACAGGCCGTAGTAAGAGCAGAAGACAGACATGGAAGTGCGTTGAGGTGGCGGAGCGGCAAGCACCGGAGGGCTGTTTGGAGGTGCCTAGATATCGATTTTTCTGAACACACAGCATTCCAGTCATGTGATGTGTTTTACGTACGTAGTTGATGACGTCTCTTGAAATAGCTCCAAAAGTTTGGTGCCAGTCTCAGAATCATTTAAGGCTCCTCTGCATCCTCAAGCCTTTTCGGAGCGTCTGGCAGCGGCAGTGCAGGGGGCAGTCTCTTCGGTGCTGCACCAGGTGTGTGAAGAGAGTTGTTTGCTTTGTGATTTTGTGAAGTTAAGTGCACTTTTTGGGACATTTGTAGAATTTTCTGTAGATTTATCTACCAGTAGTACCCGCACGAGGCGGGGCGGAAGTTGCCTTAGGGATATACTGATATACTATAAGACCTTTCTCATCTATAGTACTTGCATGCGCCGTGCGCCAGCCAGGCCCGTGCGTGCGTGCTTTGTGCGAAGCTGTTGCAGTGCTGTCGTCCAAGAACATGACCTGCGCGCGACCCCGGTGCAATGCAACGCCAAGCGAAGACTTTCTTCACACTTCCACGTCACACTGTACTCTTCACACCCCGCACTTCACACTTCACACTTGCACTTCACACTCCACACTTCATCTCATCTCAAATCATGCGAGCTCTTCTCACCTCATCTCAGCTCTTCTCATCTCATCCCATCTCTTCTCACGACATGTCATCTAAGTAAGTTCTTCTCAACTGTTTTCATCACTGATCAACCTTTCTCGTCTCGAAGTTCGTCTCAACTCATCTCAGCTGTTGTGCACGCCAGAAATCTCTTACTGTCAGAGAGAAGTCTCTTGCACAAAAAAACGATTGGGCGCAGAAACTTTTGCACACAGAAGCTTGAGACACAGATGCATTTACACAGAAAAGCCTGTACAAACTACTTTGTACTACAAAGCTTGCACAAAGCACTTCCCAGTACTACTTTGTACTACCAACCTTGCACAAAGCACTTCCCAGTATTACTTTGTCAGGGTTCCCGTGGTTCGCATCGATTCGCATCGGTTCGAAAATAACTTTATGAACCGCGAAGCGGTTCGTTCCGGTTCGGTTCCGTTGCGGTTCGTGTCGAGACCGGTTCATGGATTCATTCGGTTCCATTCGGTTCGGTTCTTGTCTGGAATTGACTGCATTATTACCTTTTATAAAGGAAATTAATGCGGTAATGGTAATAGCAGCATTAGAAATATATGCCTTGGCGTTCGAAACTGCTTAGACCGGGGTTACGGAAAATGAGTATAGCCGAACAGCTTTGGCCTCGAATAATTCTCTGTTGTAATGGACTGATCTAGCAAATACCGTAATTCCCCAAAGCCACTTAGCATTATACTAAACGGTACGATCCCGTAACCCCCCAAGAAGCACTTTCGGGGGCAAACATAGCTTTCCGGGGGTTACGGAAAATCAGTACAGCCGAACAGTTTAGGCTTCGAAATTCTCTGTTTGAATAGAAAGATTTGGCAAATTTAGTGAATCCCCATACCCATGTCGTATACTCAACTGTACGATCCCGTAACCCCCCAAGAAGCACTTTCGGGGCAAACATAGCTTTCCGGGGGTTACGGAAAATCAGTACAGCCGAACAGTTTAGGCTTCGAAATTCTCTGTTTGAATAGAAGATTTGGCAAATTTAGTGAATCCCCATACCCATGTCGTATACTCAACTGTACGATCCCGTAACCCCCCAAGAAGCACTTTCGGGGGCAAACATAGCTTTCCGGGGGTTACGGAAAATCAGTACAGCCGAACAGTTTAGGCTTCGAAATTCTTTGTTTGAATAGAAAGATTTGGCAAATTTAGTGAATCCCCATACCCATGTCGTGTACTCAACTGTACGATCCCGTAACCCCCCTAGAAACACTTTCGGGGGCAAACATAGCTTTCCGGGGGTTACGGAAAATCAGTACGGCTGAACAGTTTAGGCTTCGAAATTCTCTGTTTGAATAGAACAAATTGGCAAATTTAGTGAATCCCCATACCCATGTCGTATACTCAACTGTACGATCCCGTAACCCCCCAAGAAGCACTTTCGGGGGCAAACATAGCTTTCCGGGGGTTACGGAAAATCAGTACAGCCGAACAGTTTAGGCTTCGAAATTCTCTGTTCAAATAGAAAGATTTGGCAAATTATTAGTGGATCCCCATACCCATATCGTATACTCAACTGTACGATCCCACAACCCCCCAAGAAGCACTTTCGGGGCCAAACATAGCTTTCCGGGGGTTACGGAAAATCAATACAGCCAACCAGTTTAGGCTTCGAAATTCTCTGTTTGAATAGAAAGATTTGGCAAATTTAGTGAATCCCCATACCCATGTCGTATACTCAACTGTACGATCCCGTAACCCCCCAAGAAGCACTTTCGGGGCCAAACATAGCTTTCCGGGGGTTACGGAAAATCAGTACAGCCGAACAGATTAGGCTTCGAAATTCTCCGTTTGAATAGAACGATTTGGCAAATTTAGTGAATCCCCATACCCATGTCGTATACTCAACTGTACGATCCCGTAACCCCCCTAGAAGCACTTTCGGGGGCAAACATAGCTTTCCGGGGGTTACGGAAAATCAGTACAGC